ATTTTAAGAAAACGTCAAAATTCTGAGAAAATCCCTGTACTATAGCCCATGGTTTTTTCCAAAAAATGGCTCCGAAATCACACCAAATTTTTATTACATTTTCTGATACATATTGATGCCCTTATGCTGTGTAGAAAGTTTGAGCTGATTCCAACTTCAATTTTTCAAGTTACGGCCATTTTAAAGAAGCACCAAAATTCTGAATGTGCATGTACGTGTACTTAAGTTTGAGTGCTGATATTGTTGTTGTATTTATTATTATATTCTATCCATACAGTACTGGTGGTTCTCCGCAGCAGTTTCTTGTTAAAATCCCTATCATGTTGCACAAGTTTTCAGAGAAGGTCACTATGGATAGTCCGACCTTCTTTTCACGTTGGAAGCAGCTGGCAAAGTAAGCGAAGAAACATCAATTCATTAACTCTCTTCCTCCTCCTCCTTTAGTCCTGCCCAAGAAAGTCAAAAAATATTCACTACCACACAACCAATGGACAAAGAAACAGCCTCTACCAAAGTAGCTAAATTGAATATTATTCTTACTCTCTCACTCCCTCTCTCTCTCTCTCTCTCTCTCCCTCTCTCTCTCCCTCTCTCTCTCTCACTCTCTCTCTTTCTCTCTCTCTCTCTCTCTCTCTCTCTCTCTCTCTCTCTCTCTCTCTCTCTCTCTCTCTCTCTCTCTCCCTCCAGCTGACTGGATTTGGTTTCTCAGTGCTAGAAGGAATTGATCCTAATTCTGATAATTTTGTGAGTGCCTGTATTGTGAAGACGAAGAAGGTTTTGGTCGGTTGCTTGCTACGTCTTGAGCCAAACCATCAGACAAAAGTATGACATCATCATTAGACACACCCACACACTTGTACTTGTAATTTTCAATTAGAAAATGGATGAAAATTAACTAATTTTAACCTTTATATTTCCTCTATATTTTAACCTAAAAGTGGTTATAATTTTCACTTAATATTGCTTGCAAATTAAGGAGCAATTATATTTTGTGAATTAATTTAAATCTTTCTCTAGCAATATCGCCTGACCTTGAGGACCAGTCATGAGTCGGTGTCAAAGAATTTCAATGAATTGATTTCTGAGCTATTCTAGGACGATATTATTATTTATAAACTGCTTCCATTATTAAAACACATTCTCCCTCTCTCTCTCAGTTTCTAATCTCCTCCCTCTCTCTCTCTCTTGCAGTTATTAATATTAATTAACTGTTAGGTTGCCACACCCATTTAATTATTATTATTATTATTAGTTTCTTTTAGACTTGCTTCTTGTCCTATTAAAAACATTGCTGAACTATTATTATTATTATTATTATTATTATTATTATTTCTTATTATTATTAATATAATACATAAATGAATGCAATGACAATACGACACAATAGAGGGACAGTGGGTGTGGTTTATACTGATCTTGATAATGGCTTCCCACTGATCACTTGTTTGATTTCTTCTAAATCTAAAGTTTCGTATTTCAATAGACCTTCCGCTAATCTTTTGTGTTCTGTAGCGTGAGTCTTTAGCAGCTGGTAAGCTCTGTCATGGCTCTCCTGATAGTAATGATTATAATCATGTCCCTCCCCCTCTCTCCCTCCCTCACTTTTAGCAATCTTTTAATTTCATCTTCAATTATCTTTTGTGTTGTTGAGCTAATCTTGTCCTTATCTTGATGAAACACTGGACCAACCTAACAAAATAATAAATTATAATGTACAGGGACTTTGGCCCAATTTTTGAGCAACTTTAAAAATTCGTAAAAAATCCAAACTTGATCGGAATCAGCTCAAACTTTCTACACAACATAAGTACATGTATATGCATCAGATAAGATTAACACAATGCAGACATACTGCAGTTACTTACAGCATCACTCATTGCATATTTAGTAACCATCGCTCTAGCAATATCTGTTGCTTTTTTGAAGTCAGAAGAGGCTCCGGTGGTAACATTCTCTACTCCATACATTATCTCCTCAGCTACTCTTCCTCCCATAGCAACATCCATACTAGCCAGCAGCTGTTTCTTGGTCCATGACAATTGATCTTTCTCAGGCAGCATAACAACCTAAGGAGGGAGGGGAGAGGGAGGGGCAGGTTAAATGGAGCAGGTGCTTCTTACCATTCCTAGTGCTGGCCCACGTGGTACAATAGTAGCCTTGTGAATGGGTAGAGCCCCTGCAATTATCAACTAATTAATCATTATTATTATTAATAGACCAGACCTGGAGTGAACATTGCTACAATGGCGTGTCCCCCTTCATGGTAAGCTGTCTTTTCTTTATTCTCTCGTTCAATGACAGCACTCTTCTTCTCAGGACCTTAACAATGACATCATACGACATCATATGACATCATCACCTCACCCATTAATATTTTATCCTTAGCATATTCCATATCTTCCTCTGTCACTTCAGTCTTTCCATCAGCTGATGCTTTCAGTGCCGCCTGGTTTATCAAGTTAGCTAAATCAGCACCTGATCAAGTATATTAATAGTAACGTGGTCTATTTTTACTAAAACAGAGCTACTTAGCAACTACTATTAATAGACGTTACTATTAATAGACGTTACTATTAATAGATGTTACTATCAATAGATTACCTGAGAAACCAATAGTGCCCCTTGCTAGTTTCTCCATACTGACGTCTAATTAATATTCATAGCATCAATCAATTAATCAATCATCATTACCAGGTCCTAGTTTTATCTTCTTAGAGTGGACCATTAGTATATTGTGTCTCGCCTTCACGTCAGGCATATCAATGTGAATGTGAATGTCAAACCTTCCGGGTCTTACCAGCGCCCTACAGGTACATGTACATGTACAGGTCATGTGACTATCATGTGACTCACTTATCCAGTGACTCTGGGAAATTAGTAGCTCCAATGACAACCACACCCTCCAACTCTTTATAACTATATCAACAAACAAACCTTTATTTATTTGTTTGTTTATTATTATTGTTTACCCGTCCAGCTCCACTAGCAGCTGGTTCAGTGTCATTCTGGAGTAAGGATGAATAGCACTCGTTATTCTGGCCCCTCCCACTGCATCCAACTCATCAATGAATACCACACAGGGTTTGCTACGTCTCGCTTGTTCTGAGAAAAAGAGGGGGTGGGTAGATAGGTTTTATTTTTCTTATTATTTACCAAAAAGTTTCCTAATTCTTGCTGCTCCTACTCCAACAAACATTTCATCAAATTCGCTGCCGGATGCAAAGAAGAAAGGAACATCAGCTTCTCCTGCAATAGCTTTAGCCAGTAAAGTCTTACCAGTACCAGGAGGACCAATCAGTAGCATACCTGCAGTACACATCCATACACCATTTTATAAAGTACATCATGTACATCTCTCCCTCTCTCTCTTACCAGTGGGTAACTTTGCTCCCAGCTTCTTAAACCTGCTCGGGTTCCTCAGGAACTCAACCATCTCTTGAACCTCCGCCTTAGCCTCGTCAATCTAAAGTACAGGTACATGTAACAGTACAAAAACGAAGGATCCTTACTCCTTGGACGTCATCAAACTTGTACTCTCGGTCGGTCATATC